AGGCTTTTGATACTATCAACCATGGTATCCTTTTGGGTCGACTTAGGGAGTTGGGAGTGGGTGGCACAGTTTTGCGCTGGTTCTCCTCCTTCCTCCAAGGTCAATCCCAATCAGTGTTGATTGGGAGCGAGAGGTCCAGCCCGCGGCCCCTCCATTGTGGGGTGCACAGTGTTCAGTACTCTCTCTGCTCCTTTTTAACATCTACATGAAACCACTGGGTGAGATCATCCGCCACCGTGGGATGAGGTATCATCAATATGCAGATGATACCCAGTTATACATCTCCATCCTGGCTGACTTGAATGATGCTATGACCACCCTTTTGTGGTGTCTGGAGGCTGTGGGTGTCTGGATGGGGCGCAACAGGCTTCGGCTGAACCCTGGTAAGATGGAGTGGCTGTGGATTGGAGACCCCTCTGTATCCGAGGACTTACCATCTTTGGTTTTGGATGGGGTTGCACTGCCCCGGACAGACCCGGTGTGTAATCTGGAGGTCCTCCTGGACTCAACTCCTGCTGAAAGACCAGGTGGCAGTTGTGGCCAGGAGGGTCTTTGCCTAACTTTGTGCAAGGGCCAATTACGCCCTTTCCTGGATCAGGAGGCTCTCCAGTCAGTCACTCACGCCCTGGTTATCTCTCAGTTAGACTATTGCAACGTGCTCTGCATGGGGCTACCCTTGAAGAGTATCCAGAAGCTACAGCTGGTTCAAAATGTGGCCATCTGGACAATCTCGGGTGCCCCAAGGATGACACATATAACACCTTTACTGCGGGAGCTGCATTGGGTCCCAGTTTGCTTCTGGGTCCAATTCAAGGTGTTGATTATTACCTTTAAAGCCCTACATGACATGGGTCCAGGCTACCTGAGGGACCGTTTCATCCCCATCACATCAACCCATCCCACCCAGTCAGGCAGAGAGGGCATGTTATGGGCGAAAGATTGTCGGCTGACAGGGCCCAGGAGGAGAGCCTTCTCTGCCGTTGCCCCCGCCCTCGAATATTCTCCCTCCAGAGGTGCAGCGGTCCCCTACTCTCCCAGCTTTCTGGAAAGGACTAAAGACCTGGCTCTACCAGCTTGCGCAGAGCAATAAAAGTTTTAATCAGTCCTGGGGGGTGGTTGGTATCCTGATGACGCTCCCCGAGCTACTTGCCAATTACCATTTATTATTTACTCAGGACTACTTTTATATTATATTTTAAATTTTATCTTCTCTGTAAACCTCTCAGAGCCACTTTTTAACAAGTTGGGCAGTGACAAATTTGATATATAAATAAATATAAGTAAATAAATTATTTTTTCAATAACAGCATTTATTTCAGTTTAAGCATAAAACATTTTGCATTGTGAGCACATTTTGAGCGTTGAAGTATTTTAAGCAATTCTGAGAACGAAGTTTTTTGTTAGAATGTATTTGATAAAAACGGAGTAAAATTAACGCGTTTTGTTATGAAACCAGGACGCCATTATGGAGCAGTGACCTGTGAAGGTTGCAAAGGATTCTTTAAAAGAAGTATACGGAAGAATTTAGTGTATTCATGTCGGGGAGCAAGAGACTGTGTAATTAACAAGCATCATAGAAACAGATGTCAGTACTGTAGGTTGCAGAGATGTATTGCATTCGGAATGAAACAGGACTGTAAGTATGAAAGAAAGAAGCTTGTGTAATGCTGTATTGTTTTTTGCACCATCCTTGCATGTTATATTTAAGTTGGTAAATGAGAGTAAATTAAAAGTTTAGAAAGACAATGCCACTTATCTTGTGAAGACTAAATTATTACTAGAATGACCTTTCTGTTTAGGATTCTTATACGTTAGAGTTCTAATATGAAGGAAGTATCTTCAAGGAAGCAAATATTTATCTCATTATCTTTATAAAGTGTCTGCATGTATAATGCAGTGTATCTTAAAGATGTTAACATTCTAGATTTTGCAAGTCCCATCCTTTCCTCCGCAGTCACAAAACAGAGTACTACACATATTGACAACTATGGAAAACGTTTACTTGGGTTGAAAGGAACTTTTCTCTGATCCCAGATCCTATAGGCGAAATCAGTAGCATCAGTTTTTCAGAGTAATGGCTTTCAAATTCTGTTTCAAAAAACCACAGGCTTCCTTAGAAACGTTTTAGAGATTCTCAATAAAATCAGTAGCTGTCTCCTTGAAAGTTTATCTAACGTCTAAGAATTCTCTTAAAACATAACAATCAAATGAGAGGATTGAGTTTGCTGTACAAACGGACAGAATTATACAATAAATGAACATGTTATTGGTGTTTGCTAAACCCTTTGGGACTTACTATTTTTCTAGAGATAACAGGCACAAACCTGGGGCAAAAGAGTTGAATGAATATCTTCAAATTCTCCAGATACAATATAAGATTGGAAATTGCTGTCATAGAAATGTTAACAAACATTTTCTTATGAAAATATACAGTAAATAAATTGGCAATACTGTACAATAAATCTGCTTATTTAGGTTTTGTGTAAGTATACATTAGTAGGAATATAACACTGGAAAACTCTCAGTCATAAAGAGTGATTACAAAACTGCTGTGAAGTTAAGATCTTCCTATTCCTAACCCCTTGCCACTCCTGCATGAATTCCTCCTGCTGGTCTTATAATCATATTAATTTTGATCAGTTTTATAAATTCATATAAATTGTTATTAAAGCTATTTCAATCAGGAATTTACACACAAAAGAAAAAGAAATGATGGAGTACTATTCTGATACCAAACATTGTATCATAAGATAATCATCAATAATATCTGAGGTTGTTTCAAAAGAAATTGGGTAGATTTAATATAAAAAAGCAACTACATTTAAAACTATCAAGTTGACAGGAGTAACTAAAAATCCAAAACTGGTTTGTAAAAGCTAGATGTGGTCGAACATTGAGCTGATTTTAATAATTCCACCATTCTTTGAAGCTGTTCAGTGTGAAAGGAAACCTGTTGAAGCATCACGAGAAAAGTCTTCAAACTGTGCAGCATCTACAGAAAAGATTTATATTCGAAAAGATTTGCGGAGCCCACTTACAGCAACTCCCACTTTTGTATCAGACAGCGAAACAGCAAGGTATGCAAATATTCTAGTTTCAATCTCTTTGTGACATTTCTAAAAACCATGAGGCAATGTTTGTGTTGTTTCATTTCAGATCGACAGGAATGTTGGAGTCTGGAATGTTTGTTAATATTCATCAGTCTGGATTAAAGAATGAACCTGCAGTACTGATGACTGCAGATAAGGTATTGGATAAAGTAAATGATTTTTAAAATAGACTTTATATTCAGTGCATTTTCCACCACTTTAGAAAGTTCGTGCTGCTTAAATTTGTTAGAAGGCATTTAAGAAACTTCATAAAATGTAATTTTTAATGAAGCTGCTATTCCTTTCCACCTTTTTAAAAAATGAAGTATGTATGGTCTTTAAGGAAAGAAGCAGAGGAATCAGAAGATAACTTCACTTTACCCCTTTCATCCTCTGTATCTTTTCAAGCAGGGGAATCCTTTAATCTGTCTTTTTTTTAAAGCAAGATCATAACAAATTTGGGTGACGGCTTACAGGATAGTATGCGAGACAGAAGAACCACTGTGTAGGCTTTGATCAACATTCCCCTGACTTTACTTACTTTGGACAGCACATGATGACGACTGTGTCTGGCCTGGAATGACACCAGTGATATGTCATGTGTCTGATACAAGAAGCTCTGCCAATATTATTCCCAGGAACAGGATTTCCAAACTCATTTTTTATAAATAGGAATAGAAAATTTAACATGGGATCATTCTACCACTATTTCCACCCCACTCTTAAAGCTGTCAAGAAAATTGCAGCATCCTGGAAAAGGGCATCCCCTGATACACTTTTGCTGAATCTAAGACCTAACAAGCCTAGAATTAAGCCATATGTGGAGGGTTGGTTTTTTTTTTGTAATTTATTGAAGTTTTTAATAAACATAGTAAAAACTAATACAAACTAAACTAGAAGAAAAAAGAAAAATAAAAGTACAGAAAGTACAGAAAAAATAACAAAAAGAAAAGAAAAAAGGAGAAAAGAAAACAATAAAGAAAATAATAAAGAAGTTGCTTCCAACCTTTATCACACTGAGTATAAGCTAATATAATAACTTTTCACCCTCTTTTAAAGTTGCAAATTAAAAAAAAACTTCTCCCCATAGTCTAACTTTTATCCGAACACAATCCAGAAATTGTCATCTTTTCAGTCCTGGTTCAGCAAAAAGTCCATTAGGAGTTACTGGAAATATCAAATATCAGATAATTTATCCGTGATCATATAGTCCAACTTTATATTCCTTTTTGCTCTTCACAGTCTTAACCTTTAAATCATTCTAATGGCATCACAGGATTTGATCTTTCATCAATCTTTGGCATTCAAGAGGAGTCTTCAAAGCTTTCATAGCCTACTTTGTAAATCTCATAACGAAGCATGTCCAGGATTTCTTGTCACAGCTGTTCCATGTCCAGATCCTTTTCCTGATTTGTCTTTTGTATTCCCATTTTGGTGATCTCAATTTTGTTGTCTTCCGTGTCTCTGTAATGTCTATGACAGGTAAAAGTTTTAAAAAATTTTTCTCATCATCTTCTAAAAATTTATCCACTGAAATCTTATCCTTTCTGAAATTTTAGTTATTAATACCTCAGTCCAGTTAACAAAAAATTGTTTAAGATAAGAAAAGGTTATAGCCGGCTTAGCCATTTGAGCTCTTTTTTGCCGGGCCCTTTAGTTTCCTCTAATGTCCATTCATCAAGTCTCAGTTCCTAATATCGGTTTAGTTCCATTTCAGTTGTTTTCCACGAGTATATTATTTAGTTATATGCTTGTTTTTCAAATCTTACAGCAAAAATAACTAATATTCCAAATCTCTCTAGTCTTCCAATCCATTCAAAACTTTCTTAAATCAAAATCTTTTTTTCCCCTTTTTGCCAATTGTATATTATTTTAAATTCTTAAGTCTCTCTTTAAAATTTCTTAAATCCAAAGAAGAAGGTAAAACTCACCAGGTGTCAAATTAAGCTTGC